CAAACCCTAAAAATGCGGCGTGTTGTCGGGTTCGGAAGAGACAATATTACGGACTTTACTCAAGGTCAACTCGGCTTCTTAGGTCGTACCTAGTTGCCGAACTTAACGTTTTTAGATCAATTTTCATATTTCGCGTGAGTGTCAATTCAACTCACCTCTTCGATCATGACACGTGGCAGACCAAAATTCACACCCAACATTATTTATCTAATAATTGACTATCACTTCACAATAATTAAAATGTTTYATTTTTCAAACAAAACAAAATAAAWAAATAAAATGTTTYATAATGTCTTTTACGTTTTATTTTCTTTGTTTTAGACCTCCACTCTTTCAACTTCTCAATTTCATTTCTTCCTCCTTTTATTTCGCTCTCCACTATTTCAACTTCACGTTTGATTTTCTAATAATTATTGGGAAAATTTTGGATGAATTTCAAATATGACTTCTTTTTAAAATAAAGTGATTCTTTACTGAAAAGCTTAAGTTTTTAAAAACACAAAATTAAAAACAAAATTGTTTCCAATGGATTTGTATTGTTCAAAAACCGAGTTGTTTTCTTCAAAATTAATTAAGATTTGAAAAACTATTTAAAAAAAATTGTTAATAGACTAGCTTAATTTTTTTAAAAAAGTATATATATATATATATATATATATATATATATATATATATATATCAAATGTCCATACGCAGTACGTTATTATTATTATTGCAAAACATAGGAAAAATATTATTGGCAAAGTTGGAAGAAAAATTAAAAAAAATGTATTCTATTTAGAAAGCCTTTCATTTTAAAAAATTGAATGCAACTTAATTGAGGTTAAAATTTCGTAGATTTTATTTTACAAAAAAAGAAAAAAAGTAATAAATTTGTTGTATTATTTTCTTCACCTTATTTTCAAGTAAACTTGATATTTACATATAACAAATTATAAAATGTATTTTATGAAATTAAGTGGAGTTTAATATTTTTGTCACTTCTATTTGTTAATTTATATTTGATTTTTGTTTTGATTCTTAAACTTCAAATTCTGGAACATAATCAACCATAATTCGAAATAACTAAGAAGCCCCTCATGGTTATTTTATTACAAAGTTTACTTTACTTTTCATGGAGCRAGACTTGCATCAATCTTTTGCTTCGATAGATTGTGGTGGTGGAGAAGGTGACGATGACGAAAGATCAATATCAACTCTAGAATCACAATATGCTTCAAGAATGTTACTTTCTTCATTAGTGTATCCCAAAGAGCCGAACAATGTAGACCAACACTCATGCTGAATAATCCTAATGGCTTGACAACAACTAGGGCCTAAATAAGTTTCACCATTGACGAAGAACGTGATAATTTCACTGGTGCATGCTTGGAGTTGGACTAGAGATTCCCAACAATCGGATGTCTCGCCATCCAACTTTACCGTTGCTGCTAGACTCATTTTAGGGTTTTGTCTCGATTCAACCAYAGACGATGAGTATATGAGAGATAGACCAGACGTAACGATAAAGAATTTCAAGAGGTAAGCCATTTTAAGAAAGAAATTGGATATGATGAATCGACCATGGATGATAAGATGCTCAAAAAGCTTTTGTGATCATGAAATAATATAATATGGGGTTTATAGAGTGTAAAATATAGTACTTAGGAAACAAAATAATGTGATTAATTTATGATGGGAATGTAATAAGATTATGTAACTTACAATTAAATGTGTAATGATTTTACTTAATTATTTATCTAATAATTGATTATGACTAACAATAATTAAAACGTTTTCACTCTCTTTTTTCATCCTTTTTAGATCTCCACCCTTTCAAATTCTCAATAATAAACATGGCTTTTCCCATTCATTGTTTTGTTATTTTTTTTATCACTCTTTTTAGGAAAAAAATAGATGGATTGCAAATATGATATTTTTAAAAGTTATTATATATTATATAGTAAAGGTAGATACTTAATGGTGAAAAGTTTGTCTACTATAATGTCTAGTTTAATAAGTATTTAAATTTTTAATTTTGTGTTTATTAGGTCTCTTCCATGTTCGCAAATTTTTAAAATTAACGAGTCTATAAGACATTAAATTGAATCTGAAAATTTTTATATTTTTATTTAATAGATTGGTGGATTTTTTACAACGTTGAATAATTCAATGACCTATCAGATACAAATTAGAAGTTTATGAACCTATCAAATATGAAACTTCAACTTTAACTTCATACGTTTCATGGACTAAACTTATAGTTAACCTATCATTTTTTTTTTCAATGAATTGTAACAATTTAATTCATGTTCCTATACAATAATTCAGTCTCTATAATTTTAAAAYTTGTAATGGTTTAGTCTTTYATAGTTTAAAATTTTCAACAATTCATAAAAAATGTCTTTTAAGTTGCAAGGGATTTTTTTCTTGTTGTGAGTAATTCCATCAACTCCCCCATTAATTTAATTCAAATTCAAATTGTTACGAAGTTTAAACTATATTTACTTTTTTTTTCTTTTTGTTTGTAATTCCATTAACTCCCCATAAATTCCATTCAAATTGTTACAAAATTTAAACTAAATTTACTCCTTTTTTTTTTTTTCTTTTTGTGAGTAATTCCATTAACGCCCCCATAGATCCAATTCCAAAGTGTTCCCAATTCCCTTCCCTCTTTACCATAGCAGTCAAAAAGAAAATAAACATCATGAAATCCATATAATAATCCACACAAAGAAATAAAAAGTCTCAACATCATAATGCAAATCATTCATAAATAAACATTACAACTATAAGAACTTAAACTTCATAATGTTGAGAAGCAAAAAGAAGCCTTCAAAATGTCTAAAGTTCTAAATATGCCTTCAGAATGTTTACACTAACAGACTTTCAAAAAGCCTACAAAAGTTCACAAAAGCATTCAATTCTAAGTACCAAAACAAAGCCTTCAAAATGCATACAATTCTAAATCTGCCTTGAGAATGCCTCAAAATGTGCTCTAACAGATCCAAAGTTTCACAGTTATAGTTAACGACCAAAAACTTGAAGGCAGGTTGTCAGCATTTCAATTTCTTTTCTTCATACAAACCTACAAAAGATGAAAGCAAATGCAKGAGGTAAAAGAAACCATGATTTCAGTACAACAATAGACTACAAAACTTTAACTCTCCCACCCTTTCAAAACTTTTCCTACCCCAGAACTTAATTTGAAAGCCATATTCCTGGGATGCCCCTAATATTTATCGAATGGCAAAACTCTTTTCGAACTTTCATTTGCAGATCCCCTATAATTATCCCTTAATATTGAGGTATCAACTCATTTAGATCCTCTTCTCTCCACCATCCCTYTTTTTTTTTTTCTTTTTTATATCCGTGAGTGTCCAAGCCAGCTTGCCCGCACCTCGATTAATCTYACAGATAGATAGGTGGTCATCATGAGRTTTGAACTCATTCCCTCCCAATTAAACCTAGCCCCTCTAGACCAACGAGCCACCCATGATGGTTCTCTCCACCATCTCTTTTAAGAATAAAAAGCCTAAACTAATACAATTACGACAGGAAAGTTACATGTAAAAAGTAGATATTTACTTGAAAATCTCTTGAGAGGTGTATGAATCAATTATTCTCTTATCTAGGACAGAGTTGCATAGGCTATGACGACCAGATTCCACCTTCCTGAAATTACAATAAAGATTAAATGATATTAAAAAACAWAATAAAGATGAAAAACTTTTATTAACAACTCACATACTTGTTCACCATCTGTGTCGTGAGAATTTAATGCATCAAATGAGTCAGAATTAGAAGCAGGGAGTGAATCATCATCTTCACTTAACTCCAWATTGGTTGTTGAATCATCAAGCATATTCAATTTCAATCCCATGACATTTCCTTYAACTACAGTAGGCTTGACATCAGCTCTATTCAAGTAACCGAACTCCATACTCCCGTTTATAAACATATTACGTGTTATAACAAGATCCCAAGGTTCACTTGATTGATCTTCAATATCCTCTTCATCATTCTCAATCTCTGGAATGTCCCATAAATGTCTAGGTTGCACAAACTGTACCACTTTCCAATTCATTCCAAATTTTTAATCATCAACATAAAAAACTTGTTCTGCTTCATTGACAAGAATGAAAGGTTGATCTTCGTACCATCTACGGGAAATATTGATAGAGACGAAACCTTTCTCATTACGAATATTACTTTTCCTTTGATTTGTGTCAAACCATTCACATTTGAGGAGCAACACACGTTTGTTTCTATAATGTAATTCTAACACCTCACATAATATGCCGTACAAGTGAACTTCAAGTTTTCCATGGAAGGCAGGCAATGATATTCCACTATTTTGAATGGTTTGACCATGATCGTGATCTTTGGTATGGAAACGCAATCCATTAACTGTGCACCCACTATATGAATTTGCACAGCGATCTGGACCAATTGCAAGTGTATGCAACTCGTCAGATATGTTGCCTTCCTGATGTAAAGTTTGAGCCTATATAGATAATTGGTAAAAACTATTACTGACACTTGTATTTATAAAATAAACTGGTGAGAGTAATAAGTTTGCTTASTTGGTTTTTGATCCAATTCGGAAATTGTAATTCTTGCATTGTATGAATATCATTTGCGCCTTTCGGTTCAAGTGTTCCTGCATGTCGCCTATGAAAAGAATGTTACAAGGTTGTAAATGTGCTAATGTAAAATAGTTATACAATTAACGAGTAGTTGAAAGATAGAGACATACTTCAAATATGGTTTTGATTCATCACAGTGACTCAAAATGTACCAATGTGCTAATTCCATCTCTTTTTGAGATAATTGTCGTGATTTTGGTTCTCCTATAAGACGAGCATTTTGCCCAAACACTGATAGTTCACCACTATTCTTGTTTCTGTCACATGAGTCATTATCATATTCACACCTATTCGATCCTGTTTCCTTTCCTTGAAGATACGTGGAACAAAACTTTAACGATTCATTCACAATATATGCCTCTGCAATTGAACTTCAGGATCCGTTTTATCCTTGACATATTGCTTCAAATTGTTCAAGCTTTGTCCAATGGGATACATACAACTGTAACGTACAGGCCCTACCATTTTTGCTTCATAAAAAAGTAGGAGGAAATAACTTTTCAAACTTGCACAATATCTTAACAATTTCATCTTGTAACTTGTCCAAGTCTTGAGATTGTATTGTTTTTGCACATAACTTCCGAAAGAAGATAGACATCTCTGTAATTGTTGTGCATATTTGATCTTGTAAATATGTAAGAATACCGATTGGGAGAAGCCGATGTAATAGTATATGAAAATCATAGCTTTCTAATCCCGAAATTGTTCCTTCTCTAACATTCACACATTGCGATATACGTGAAGGAAACCCAAAGGGAAATTTAACCGATCTTAAGAACTTGCAAAAGTTCACCCTCTCATTAGCAGCTAACGTGTATGAAGCATGTGGTTTTAAATATTTGTCCCCATTTTTCTGAATATGTAGCTCTTTTCGTACTTCTAAGTCCTCTAGATCTAAACGTGCCAATAAAGTATCAGTGGTCTTCCCATCCATGTCTAACAAAGTGTTTAACAAGTTATCACATATACTTCYTTCAACAGAGATAACATCTAACTTATGACGTAGCATGAGTTTTGACCAATATGGAAGTTGAAAGAAAATACTTCTCTTGTTTGGAAGGATTTTTACCAAATCTTGAGAACCTTATAGCCTTTACTTGCTGTAAGATCTCCTCTCCAGTTCTAAGGTCCTAACCTATGTTCTTCATTGCCATCATGCTGCTTGCTTCTACGCCAAACATGATCTATAGGTAGATAACAACGGTSCCCTGTAAAGCAAACTTTCTCTCTCAACTTCATTGAAATTGTATCTTCATTACACATAGGGCATGCTTTGTATCCTTTAGTATTCCAGCCAGATAAGTCACCATAGATTGGAAGATCACTAATTGTCCATAACAAAGCTGCATGTAATTGGAAGTACTCATGCTTGCTACTATCAAAAGCACCTACACCAACTGTCCATAATTGTTCCAACTCTGCAATCAATGGTTGCAAGTATATATCGACTTCTTTACCAGGAGATTGGGGATCGGGAATAAGCAATGACATGAAGAAAAAATTATCTTTCATGCATTTCCAAGGTGGTAAGTTGTACGGGACTAGTACGACTGGCCACATACAATATGGACTTGTATTTCCAAATGGGTTAAAACCATCTAAAGCTAGTGATAATCGAACATTTCGAGGATCTAAAGCAAACCAAGGAAATTCTTTATCAAAGTGTTTCCATTCTTCAGCATCAGCGGGATGTCTTAGGACTCCATCTAACTCAACATGTTTATCTTTATGCCACCTCATTTCATGAGCTATATCTTTTAATAAAAACAATTTTTTCAACCTCGGAATCAACGGAAAATGGTATAACACCTTATGTSGAAGCTTTCTACCCTTGCCATCATTGACATTATATCGAGATTCTCCGCACATTGGACAATGCTCACATTTTTCAAACTCTTTCCAAAATAGAACACAATCATGCTTACAAGCATGGATTAGATTATATCCCAACCCCATCTCAAGCAGCCTCTTATTAGCATCATGATATGAATGTGGAAAATTTGCACCATCAGGAAATGCTGCTCTTAAAAGTTGTAGCACCATGCAAAACGATTTATTACTCCAATTATTTAAAACCTTCAGATGCATCAATTTGACTAAAAATGTGAACTTTGAATATTGTGAACATCCAGGATATAATTGCTTTCGYGCTTCACCTAATACATCCTCAAATGTACTTTTTGTACCTCGCTCATTAATACCTGCAGACAACTCATTGCCATTATCATCATCCAATATTGGACCTTGTAGATCATTTTTTTCTTTGTTAACAGAATATGTCGGTTCACAGTGAGGTCATACAACTGTTTTTTTGTTTACTGAAGAAGGACCTGGTTCAGAGTGAGGTGGCACAACCGTCTCCTTATTAACAAGAGATGTCTGCTTAAAGCAAGGTGACACAAATGCTTCAGGTTCCTCTCCATGAAAAATCCATAGGTTGTATGTAGGGGATATTCCACGCATGTACAAGTGMTGTTCTATACTTGTAATATCACCATAAAAAGAATTCATACAGTACGTACATGGACATCTTGTCTTTCCTTGTGCATTGAGAGTATTTTTAGCCACCTCTAGAAAGGAGTTAACACCATCTACATACACTTTGCACTGTCTATTTTGAAGTTTCATCCAATCTCTATTCATTCTCTTTTAATTTCAAACCAAGGCAAAGTTGCTTGTGATTTGAATATGTAGAAGTTCCAATCTCCAAGCTAACAAGTAAAAAAAAAAAAAAGAAATTTCCCAAAAGCACATTAGTGAGATCATGAAAATCAAATCAAATATTGTTGTTCATACAAAAAAGCCACAAATTCCCAACCACTGTTTCAGTTTATAACAAAGACACCACAAAAATAAGTAAACGAAGCCTCTCAAATCCCAATCTCAATAATCAAAGCCAGCCATTTTGGGGGAATGCAGAATCAACAGGTCAGTAAATCAGCCCAGAAGAATGARAAATTCAAAGCCAAGAAAGAACTACGTAGGAGGAGGTAAAGAAATCCAAAACAAGAAAAAAACTAACCTTTTCAAGTGAACATAGATGTTGTGGCAGTGAATCGGAGTTGGAGGCGGCAAATGCGAAGAGAAAACTGAAGAAGATTGGTGCATAATCGAAAGGAAAAGTAGGGTTTTGTAAAAATAAAGAACCCATTTGCCGACGATTAAGTTTCGTCGCGGAAGATCTTTTTAGCAAAATTTTTGCAGAATTATTGTGAAGAAAAAGGCTTGTACTTTGTACTCTGGAAGCGTTTGACATGGCTCCGCTTTTCTTTTTTCTCTCTCTTTCTCTCTTCTAACTAAGTCTGTTTTTTTAGTACTTCTAAATCTCTGTTATCCACTTTCTTATCCGCTGAAATAACACGTATAATTATCCTACCTTCCTAACAAGAATAACGAAAAATCAAAATAATTGATGTACAGAATTAAGAATGTTTATCTTTTATTATAATTTCAGAAAGACAAAACTTTATTTCAATTCTAGAATATTTCGAATTTAGTCCTCTGAAGTTCAAATCCAMTGCGTGAGTGTAGTTTAGTGGTAATTGACACCAACTTCTTTTTTTAAGTCGGAGGTTCAAACTTACATACCCCAATTGATTGTACTAAAATAACTAACTATCTATATATATATATTTTTTTTTTAATAAAACTATCTATATTTATTTATTTATTGTAGAGTAGTATAAATGTGGGGAGTTCATGTACATCAATTACCTACATCTGTTATAATAATAATAAAAAGAGATGTATTTTGATCCTTSAGGTTTGGGCCCTGGTTGGTCATTAAATTTAAAAAACATCATTTTTTTCGCGTGAGATTTTAGTGAAGTTTCAAAAGTGACATCTTTGGTCCCTAAAATATGAATTTAGTTTTTAATTGGTCTCTAAAGTTTGAATTTAGTTTCTAATTGGTGTCTAAGTTAAATTGATTGTTAGTTAACATAATGACATCCTTAGTTCGCTTTTGCCTAAGTAGAATATATGTTAACTGTCACATCATCATTTCGTCAAGTTAATTAATGGTCAACTGAATTTAGGAACCAATTAAAAACCAAACTCAAACTTCAAGGATCAATTAGAAACCAAACTTAAACCTCAAAGATCAATTCAAAACCAAACTCAAACTTCAGGGATCAATTAGAAACCAACCTCAAACCTCAAAACCAATTAAAAACTAAATTCAAACTTTGAGGTTTGGTCGACTCAATTTAGGGACCAATTAAAAACCAAACTCAAACTTCAGGGATCAATTAGAAACCAAACTTAAACCTCAAAGATCAATTAAAAACTAAATTCAAACTTCAGGGATCAATTAGAAACCAACCTCAAACCTCAAAAACCAATTAAAAACTAAATTCAAACTTCAGGGACCAAATATGTCACTTTCGAAACTTAACGACTAAATAGAAACTAAGTTTAAATCTAAGAGACCAAAAACCAAAAGCGGTGGTTTTTTAAACTTAAAACCAAATAGAAACCAAATCCAAACTTAAGAATAAAAAATTTATCATTTTTAGTATGACAATAAAAAATTTTTAGATCATAACATACATCATCTAATTTATTATTCATATGCAAGTTAAAGGACTACTTATGAGCATGAGAACCGCTTTTAAGAAAAAAATTTCATTTGAAAGGTAGTGATCGATTCACTTACATTGATTACTCCAATTGTACAATATGAGTCTTGTCATGTTTTTTTAGGCCAAACACAAACTTTGTGTCAAGATAAATAAAAAGCAATCATGTTAAAAGAATTGATAATGTGATGGTTGCTTCTTATAACTCCAGTATTCATTTTGTGTAATCCGCTGGAAGATATCCACTTCGTCTTGATACTTCACTTATATCATGACTAGATGTTACCTCCTAAGCAAACTCAGCAAACTAAGCAAAACAGATAAGGATATTGAGATTCCCTCTCAAGTTAATAATTATCTCATTCTTAAAATTACTACAAAATTTTGAGCTTCATCCCTGTTTCGAGGAAAACAAGTAAGAATGGATACATTATCTAATCTCAGGCTGTATCTTTTATCTCTTATCTTTTACTCTAAAAAAATCTCAATTTAGAGAGATAAATTGCTAACCTATCTTTTTTTTTTCTTATACATATTTTGAATTTTATTAGAGGATAGGATAATAACAAACTAAAGATATGACAATCACATTAAGATTCTCCATAAATTGAATTCAATCACCCTCAGCATGCCAACTCGAGCCTAGTTCAATTAATTAAGGTACTTATCTTTGATTAAGAAGTCGTAAATTCGAATCACCACCCCCACATGTTGTACTTGAAAAAAATCACACTCTTAGCATAGCACTCCCTCAGGCTCTTCTATTTAGCATCATTCTCCTTCTGCAACGGTCAACAATCTATTTCAACTTCTAATTTCTCTTCTGCAAATAGTAATAGTAGTAAAGTTAAATGGTATAAATGTTGGGAAAAAATTACTCGCTACTATTGATTTCCTTTGTTTCGATCCTTAATTCTGGAAATGTGTATATTTCAACTATTACTTTTGATCCTTAATTTTGGAAATGTGTACATGCATATAGGACATTTTTATAACATTTAGAGTTGATTTATAACAAAAACTATGATTTTGTGCAGGAAATTGCTGAGCTAGGTGTCTGATGCCTTATCCAATGTGAAACAAACATTTTGATGTATTTGACTTCTCCTAATCCCTCCATGTGTCATCCATGTAAAGAAAGATGTCAAGTCAATAACAAATTAAGTTGAAGAAGTTTTGAAGGGATCTCTCCACGAAAAACTCAACTCCTTAACCACCTTGAAGTTGCCTATAAATTGAGTAACCTCCTTCACTTCATTCATCATCCAAGTGATTATTTCAAGCTTTCTACACTTTGCTCTCAACCTATTTCGTTTTTTTTTTTAGTTTTGTTATTTTCAAGACTTGTTTTATTTCAAGTTTATGCTTAGTTTTCGGCTTGTTACTTATCAGTTGTAAGTTTTGAACTCCATTTAAATTTAATTCCAGCAAGTTTATTAATCTTCATCTCCATTCTATTTTTCTATGAAGTTTGCAATCACACAATTTTGTGGAATCGATCGAGTATTGTCTCGCAAATCTTGAAAGAGAACGAGTAAGGGTCTTTTGGGTTACAACTTGTTTTTATTCTATTCTTCTTTAAATCATGTCTTTCATTTAAAACATCGTTCAATTCTGTTTTCTCTCTAAAATTATGAGCTAAACTTGTTTTCCTAAGCTTGGTTATGGATGATTAGCTAAAGTTTTTAAAAATCCAGCAAGTCAAAAGGTGTTTCTCTCTTCTTTTATTATTAAAAGTTGTTTTTAAAGAAATGATTAATTTGATTGATTAATGTTCTAAGCAAACATCGACATATTAGGAATGAGTTTATACCTTCAAAAATCACTTAGACATAAGAAGATGGCGAAGCAGAACCGAGAAAAATATAAGAGGTGTTTGGCGCCTAGTTGGAAAAATTTTGTGTATTTTTAGCTAACTTGAAGTAACTAGGTTGAGTTTATTCCATTGAGTTTTTAAGCACCAAAAGCAACACAATTCTTGATATTTGTCACCTTAAAAACAATTGCAAAGTCGCCAATCAATATTATTTTTATTAAAAAAAGGCTTCATTAGTCTCTATGGATTGATACTCGGCGTACTCATTCCATTTTATTACTTGTGACAAATGTACAGTCACGCTCTATCTATTATTTCAAATTCAAAATCCCAAACAACTATTCGACAACAAAATAGCTTATAGCCCGAGTTCACCTCAATCAATAATCTAACTACGAACCATTTTCCCATTCCACAGTTATTCAGCGAATCCCAATATCCAAACACCACAATAAAGGAAATATGAGGAAGCACAATAAACAACACAAGAGATTTATACTGGTTCACCAACTATGGCTATGTCCAGTCTTCTGCGATGTGCGAGTTTTACTATGATTGGAATAATACAATGGGCATACAATATCCCTCAATACTCTCTCTAGATGCCTCAACAAATACCACCTAGTTTTTTAGGTAATATAATACAATAATACGAGCCTAAGAATACAAGAATAAACCTCACCAATAGACTCGAGAACAAGTTGTCGACGACGCACTACAACCCGAGAACTCGATCACTTCTCTACTGCCTTAAAATTGCCTCCCACACCTCTAATTTGTGCCACTTGAAAAAACCTAACGTAAAAGAAAACAATCCGTTTATAAAATGTCGCAGTGTTGAGATGTTGACGCTGTGAACACCACAACATCAAAAAGACTCGTGCACGCTTTTTTTTTTTCAATTTCGCGACGACACCACGACGTTATAAGGCAGCTGTGGCGCTGCTCTCTCGACCAACAGCCCTGCAGCATGCCTTCATCTCTGTTTTCATTATTCGTCTCCATTTTTTCTCAACTTATGCAACATTGTAACCTCCTTCTTCTCTCTTTTTTGTCTATTTTTTTTTCCAACTTAATACAACTTAAGTTTACAGTATAAAAAATACATCTCAACAATTTAAAGGTACATATATGTATACATTTCTTGCTTTTTATTTTTCATAGTTTTAAATGATTGCCAAGAAGTCGCTTAATATTTATTGTTTTTTTCTCTTCTATTATTTCATTTCGCGTCTTATTTTCTTCTAATTTTAAATGGGGGCGACTTTTCGGCAGTCATTTAAAACTATGAATATACCTTTAAATTGTGAAGATGTATTTTTTTATGCTGTAAACTTAAGCTATATTTAAGATGGAAAATAAAAAGACAAAAAGAGAAAAGAAAGAAGTTAAGGTGTTGCATAAGTTGAGAAAAAAATGGGAACAAATAAAAGGGATAAAGAAAGAGGTGAGAAGGTGTAGGGAGAGAGGAAAAAAAAGAGAAGAATCGTCCAACACTTTTTTAGAAAACTAAAAGAGATTTTGATGAGACTCTGAGTTTTAGTAAAATAATTAGAAAAAGGAATAGTCAACACTTGTCTTTCTATTATGGGACCAACATGAGGGTAAGGAGCACAATGCTCCTTAATGTTAAGGAGCGAAGTTTTTTCCAGATACAAATGAGTATTTGTAAGAAAAAGAAATGAAAATAATAAGGTCACAAGATATAAAACAAGACTAGTTGCACAAAGTTTTTTTTGCAAATACCTGGTATTGATTACAAAGAGACATGTTCTCCGGTGGTTGATACAATTACGCTAAGATATTTAATTGGTCTGACTGTTTTTGAAAGTCTTGATATGCATCTTAAGGATGTTTATATGAAAATCCCCGAAGAATTTAAGGCCCTGTTTGGTAGGA